GTCATAAAGGCCATTCTTCTGAGCTCCAGCCTTGATTTTGATGTAAAATCACAGTTAAAGGTAGATAGATATCTACCACAAATTGTCATGTTTCTAAGCTGTGCTTGATGCTGTTGTGTTTCTGATTGTATTACTTCGGCTAAGGTGTTGTGATTGATTTAATCAGTTGTCCTTCCCAGTATAATGAAAACGAGATTGCCTCAGAGTCATTGGAGACTCAAAACCCAAAGACAAGCTTTGGAAGATCATAGTGTTAACCTAGGAATTAAACCAAGGACAGTACCAACAACAGAAAGAGAATGAGAAGACATTCAAACACAGGCTGCCAGTTCATCAAAGGCAAATTCTAAAGGAAATGAGGTGGGAAAGTCTGATAATCAACCACCTAGACAACCTGAACTGACAGCACAGGAAGTAACAAAACAGACGAATGAGGCTCTAGAAATATTCAGAACAGAAACAATTTCCAAGATAACTACAGAGATGGTGAGCAGAATGAAAGACATGATTAGAGACTCTAGAACAGAAACAAATAAAAGAATACATGAGCTCAGGACCATGATAGGAGCCATGAATGCCCAACATAGGAAAGAAATAGAATCCATGAAACAGATTCAAACAGATATCCAAGAGATAAAAATTCTATTGAACATATACATAACATACTTAGCCAATCTGAAGACAGGCTATCAGATTAGAAGACAGGATGGAGGTCAGTGACCATGAAAAGAGGGAATCTCTTCAAAAAAGTAAGGGAACATGAGAAATCAATCCAATAGCTCCTAGATGACACAAAGAAAAATAATATAAGACTGAATGAAGTCCATGAAAAAGCAAGAGAAAATACAAATGGCTTTAAAAACTGTTCACAGAATGACAGAAAACTTCCCAAACAGAGCAAAAGAATTTGACATACATATAAATGAGGCTTATAGGACTCCAAATAGCCGTGATCACAAAAAAAAACCTACACCTAGACATGTAATAATCAAGATCCCAGAAACTCAGCAGAAGAATGAAATACTACAAGCAGTTAGAGAAAAGAAACAAATCACATACAAACAAACACCCATCAGAATCACAGCAGACTTTTCAACCCAAACTCTCAAGTCAAGGAGAGCCTGGAGTGGGGTAGCCCTAAAAGAAAACAACCTCCTACCTAGACTTATGGAACCTGCAAAACTCTCTTTCAAAATTGATGGGGAAATAAGATACTTCTATGACAAAGAACATCTGAGAAACTTCATGAATACCAAACCAGCACTCCAAACACTTCTAAATAATATTCTAGAAAAATAGAATGAAGATCACAACTCCATGAGGCCCAACAGAGCAAATCCAGCAGACAAGGCAAAAAATTAAAGAGAGGGGGAAAAAAATAAAAAGAGCCAACAACAGGAAAATAACATGACAATGATATGTCAATACATATCAGTTATAATCATCAATGTTAATGGTCTCAATTCACCAATCAAAAGAAATACACACAGAATGGATTAAGAAGCAAAATCCAATAATATGCTGTATACAAGAAACACACTTGATTCAAAAATAAACTCATAAACTGAAAGTAAAAGGCTAGAAAACAGTTCTCCATGTGACAGGAACCCAGAAAAAAAAGGGGGTAGCTAGCTTATTTGCAAACAAAGTAAACTTCAAACCAAAACTAAGACAAAGAAGGTCACTACATCCTTATAAATGGAACAATCCAAGAGGAAGAAATGACAATCATAAACATATATGCACCAAATACTAATGCACATGCCTATAATCCCAGCACTCAGGAGGCTGAGGCAGGAGGACCACTGTGAGTTTGAGACCAGCCTGGGCTACATAGTGAGTTCTAGGTCAGTCTCAACTACATAGTGAGACCCTGTCTGAAAAAACAACAACAACAAAAAAAAATTAAGGGACATGAAAAATCAAATAAGCACTAATAACAATTGTAGTGGAGGACCTCAATTCCCCACTGTCACAAACAGATCATCTAGACAAAAAAATCAACAACAAAATACTAGAACTCAACCAAGCTTTTGAACAAATGGACTTAATAGGTATCTACAGAGTGTTTCAACCCCCACAAAATCAGAATATACATTCTTTTTGGCTGCACACAGGTCATTCTCCAAAATGGACCACATACTAGCTCATAGAACATGTTTAAGTAAATGCAAAGGAGTTGAAGTTATCCCATGTATATTATCAGACCATAGTGCAATAAAGCTGGAGATCAATAGCAAAAGAAACCACAAGAATTTCACAAACACATGGAAATTGAGTAACACTCTCCTGAACAACCAATGGGACACAGAGGAAATTAAAGAAGAAATTAACAGTTTTTACAATTTAATGATAATGCCAGTACAACATACAGGAATATATAGGACACAATGAAAGCAGTTCTATGAGGGAAATTTATAGCAGTGAGTGACCACACTAGAAAAATAGAATGAGCTCAAATAAACAACCTAATGCTGAATCTTAAGCTTCTAGAAAAAGAAGAGCAAGACATACCCAAAGCTTGTACAAGGGAGGAAATTATAAAGATCAGAGCAGAAATCAATGCAATGGAGACTAAGGGAATGATACAATCAATGAATTGAAGAGTTGGTTTTTTGAAAGAATAAATAAAATCAATAAACCCTTAGCCAACTTTGTCAAAAAAGGAAAGAAAAGGCTCAGATCCATGCAATTAGGAACGTAAAAGGTGAAGTCACAACAGATCCAGCAGAAATCCAGAAGATCAGCCATACCTACTTCAAGAACCTGTACTCTAATAAAATGGAAAATGCAGAAGAAATGGACAGATTTCTTGATACATATGAATTATGAAAGTTGAACAAAGAAGATATAAAAATTCTAAACACCCCAATCACAATCAGTGAAATTGAAAACATAATTAAAAATTTATCAACAAAGAAAAGCCCAGGTCCTGATGGCTTCACTGCTGAATTCTACAAAACATTTAGAGAAGAACTACTGCGACTACTTTTGAAACTTTTCAGTGAAATTGAAAGGGAAGTGATACTTCCAAATTCATTCCTAGAAGCAAGTGTTACTTTGATTCCCAAATCAGGGAAACCCAAGAAAGAGAACTACACTAGTGAATATAGATGCAAAAATCCTCAATAAGATACTGGTTAAAAGAATACCGAGGGTCATCAAGAAGATCATACAACCTAACCAAGTTGGGTTTATTGCAGGGATACAAGGATGGTTTAACATACGTAAATCAATAAATGTAATACACTATATAAACAGAGTCAAGAACAAAAACCATATTAATAGATGAAGAAAAAAAAGCAATAAGGATAGAAAAGGAAGAAGTTAAACTGTCATTTTTTGCTAATGATATGATATTCTACATAGAAGACCCAAGAAACTCCACCAAAAGACTTCTAGATTTAATTGACAGATTCAGTAGAAGTAGCTGGATACAAGGTCAACACTCAAAAATCAATAGCTTTCTTGTACACAAATAACAGACTCACTGGGAGAGAAGTTAAGCAAACAATTCCTTTCACAATAGCATCCAAAAAAATGAAATGTCTAGGAATCAATCTAATGGAGACAAAAGACCTCTGCACTGAAAACTATAGCACTCTGAAAAAAAGAGATAGAAGAGGATATAAAAAAATAGAAAGACATCCCTTGCTCCTGAGTAGGAAGAATCAACATAGTGAAAATGGCCATACTACGAAAACTGCTATACAGAATCAGTGCAATCCCTATTGTAATCCCAAGAGTATATTTCACAGAACTTGAGAAAACAATCCAAGTGGATGCACATTGAGGACATACTCTTAAGTGAAATTAATAGGGCACACATGTGCAAATACCAAATAGTTTCTCTGGTGTGATAAACTAAAGGTGTAAATAAGAATCAAAATGTATAATTGATATTGTGTAATATGAAAAAATGCCTAAAGGTGTAGGGGAAGTGGGAGGGATAGGGGAAAGCTAAGAAGTGAAAAGAAAAAATAAGAGAAAAGGAAAAAATGGAAATAAAGTCTTTGCAAATAGGGAAAGGTGGAGGAGGTGAAGGGAGGGCAAGGGAATGGGGAAAAAATAAGAACCAAGATACATCATATAAAGGTACAAGACCCCAATGATGAATGTAACTTTATTTTATACCTAAAATGTACCAATAAAGAAAAAAGAGGGAAAAACTCCACAAAGAGTAGGTTATGTGTAGCTCAACATGAAATGACAATTCTGAGAGAGGGGCAATAAAGTAGGGACGAAAAGGAAAAAGAGATTTTTAAAGATCACAGAAACCTGTGGCAGGATATGGCAACAAATCAGCTATACTGGTTGAAATATAATAAGGCTTGAAGATCACCCAAGAGGGAAGAATTTAGCAGGAAATAGAAACTGGGCAAGACCAGCCCTAGCAGAAAGGATGTAGGGAGAATCTCAAGTTCATCCTTCTCATTTTTAGTTTTAGATAAAAGCCAAGTATCCAACTGGAGATATCCTATGGATAGCTTGTAAATTGTAATATTATAGGGCATTTTTAAAAGGTTCAGAATATCAACCAGCTAACAATTTAGTTAGTTTAAGAGCTTTCTGTCAAAAATAACAATGCATCTTTAAATTGTGAGCAAGAAAACTACACAGGCTCAATGTGTTAAACTAATAATTAATAAAGAGTGTATTACAACACAAGTGGAGTATTTAAGCTATCAACTCAATATGGAAGGATGGTTTTATGAAGAACTATCAAATTTGTGTCTCATCAGACTTTAAAATGTTAGGATTAAGGATCATTGTTCTGACTTCAAATAGCATTTTACATGTCTATTATGTTGTATAAGTTAAATTACAGACCATTTTAAGTCCTGTGAGTCATGTTTTTGGCTTTTAGTTAAATTCTTACTGACAAATTCACATGTATGATTTAACACATATGATTACAGCCATAAAAAGTCAAATAAAGCAGAAAAATTTTTTTAATATATTCATTTGGCATAATTAAACTTTAAATGAAAAAGGCTTACCACATTTTCCTTCATCTTTCTCAGCTTTTCATCTATCTCTCTCAGCTGATTTTTCTGATCACGCTGCTTTTTAGTGTTTTGAAGTACCTGTTCTCCAGGAGTTATTTCTACATTTCTTTCATCATCAAGGTCAGGTTCCTAATTTTAAAAAGAAAAATTTTTTTTCATAGGATGGTAATGTGTTACTCCAGAGAGACTGAGTCTTAAGGGCCAGTTTTGCTTCTCAAACAGTATTTTTTTTCTTTTTAAAACATACATTAAAAAAAGTACGGGAATAAATTCAACCTTTGCACTCATCTGGAAAACAGAAAGATAACATGAAAAGAGGCATGGCCAGGAAGAAGACATCTGTGTTCTGGTCCCTACTCTGACACTTAATCAGCATGAGATCTTAGACAAATCAGTTTCTCTGGACTTCATGTTTATTATATATAAACAATGAGAAGAAAAAACCCTACCCATCCATGTTCTTAGAGACAGCTGTATAATAATGTGAAGAAAACTTGTCTTGGCAATATTGGGAGTTTCAAATCTTGACTCCACCTAGTTCCTAGGATGATCTTACAGAAACAAATTAATTCTTCTGAATTTTAGTTGTATCCTCTGTAAAATGATATGAGTCCTAGCCTAGAAGTTGTCACAATACTTACTAGACATGTGATAAATCTTAGTTCCCAATAGACATGAACCTGTGTCCTTTGAAAAAAATAAGCATTGTATAATGAAAGTACATCATTGTATTTCTCATTTCTTCTAGTTTTCAATCTTTAGTAATACTGGTTAACATTATTTGTAGGTGATAAAGATGGGTATTTCCTGACCATATGTCGATCCTATATCTAAAACTAAATGTCTTCTCTTCTCTCTTACAGATCTCCTCTTCTGTGTGACCACATAGCTAACTGGCATGAGTGACATTTTTGAAGTCACTCAAGCCAGAATTCTCCTATTCCTTCCTTTCTTGCATACAGTTGGTCACCAAGAATACTCACTATTCTAGTTTGTACTATCTCTCTAAAATTTTTTCATTGTCCTAGTTCAGACCTCTTCATCACTTGCCAGTAATTTTCAAACTCCAGCAGGCTTCAGAATCGCTTGCAGAGCCTGTAAAAAGATGCAAAGACTCGACCTCTACCCAGAAGATCCTGATTCAAAAGGCAAGGCCTATGGGCTGACAACCTGGAGCATGAGAACTTGAGAACTGGAGAATCACTGACCTAAATCACTTCTTGAGCCTCATAACTGATCTTCCTGTCACCAATGGCCCTGATCACACCAACCTTTGCCGAGAAGCCACCGACCAAGGAACAAGGTGTTCATTCTCTTCAGTCACACCTCCCACTGCTTGGTTCTCAGATGCAACCCCAGCCATATTCACTACTGTTAGTTCTCCACCACTCTATGCCTCACCCTCCAACTCGTGGAAACAAGGAGACTCCTGCTCATTTGGGGTCCAGCTCAAACATGTTTCCCCCATAAAGTATTCCCTGAAAAACCCAAGAAGGACAAATTGTTTTCTCAGCCATGCCACGTGTTCTTTTGTGCACTTACCAGACAGTTACTGCCTAGGCAATGACAAGACTGGCCCTCTTCTGTACCCCAAAATACACCATAATACTGAGGCTGCTCATACTCTGTCCGATGCACTGTAATTTTGGTTCTCATCACCTTAATCACAAAGAAAGCTTGAACACACTCATACTGAGCATAATAAAATTCTAGTGAGCAAACTATTAGAAGAGTCCATTAATTTTAAGAACTGTGTTTTGTTTTACTTCTCACTGGAGGCATCCAAAGACTCAATAGTTATTGTAATATTTTTAATAAGGAAACCAAATGCCAGGTGGAGTCTGGAAAATGTGGTATCAAGGTTTCTTTGCAACTCTGAGCATCCAGCATTTATGAAACTTTTGTGAGATATACCTGCTATGAAGTAGGATACATGATTATCTAAAAAACATCCATGTTGAATTTTATTTTTAAAAAGAAATGATTTTAAATAAAGAAAAAGGATACCATTTCAATAATCTATAATTTTGATTTTTTTCAAAAAAATACTTGGGTAGGCAAAAATAAGACAGAAAGGAAAAGATATAAATTATACTTCATGATATTTTTAAACTGTGCTTAACCAAAGGCAAAATTTAGGAGAGACAAGCCACGGATTGAGAGAAAATGCTTAGAACATATAAATCTAACAAAGGACTTATATCCCAAGTATCTAAGGAGCTCCTACAGTTCAATAAAATAAATAAATTAGATAACAATAAAACAATCAAATTCTATAAAGACTAGAATAGGCACTTCATAAAAGGAGATATCTGAAAAACAAATACATAAAAAAGTCCTAAATATCATTAGTCATCATGGAAATGTATAGTGAGATGTGGTTACACCGGGCAATGTGAATAGCCCCGTGGTGAAGTTGAGCACTAAGTGTTAGGTGTGGAGCAATCAGAATTCTCACATATTGTAGTTGGTAGCACATAATGGTACAAGCACTTTGAAAAACTGGTAGTTTGTTAAAAAGTTAAATATTTCTCTGTCCCATAACCCAGAAATTCCACTTCTGTGAGTTTAGCAAAAAGAAACTAAAACACATGCACCACGCTCTGTACATGAATGCTCACATGGCCAAACACTGACGATCCCAGGGTCTGTCGACACAGAATGACAAATTGCGTGAGGCCCTGACATCAGCTGGGATAATCAGACTCTTTCTGCCTGGTGCGTCAATGTTGGAAAATTATTAGAAGATTGGACAGGAAAGAACAGAAAAATTGGGGTATTTTCCCTTTCTCTTTCTCTTTTGGCACCAAAGTTGGGGCAAGAGTGTACTCGGGGTCCCCTCAGTTTTAGAGTCAAATGAACTTTCACACTCAAAGACAAACAGAGGTTGAACATAGAGCTACTAGACTTAGAAGGTTGCAAGACAGGAAGCACAGTGGGGCACTCTCAGGGATCTCTTTTCAGTGGGAGTGTTTACTCGAAGTCCATATTGTAGTGGGATAGGTACAAAGGACAAGGAAACCATCCTGGCTTTGTCACTTGCCCATTGCCAAATCACAATACCAAACACCCGCAAATTGAAAGAGGACAGATTTATTTTGGGTCATGATTTCAATCTATGGTGGACTGGCTTCAAGGCAGAAACAGGACGCCAGGGGGTATGGTAGAGGAAAAGGCCCTCAACCCACCGCAGAGAGGAAGCAAACAGAAAAGGGAGGAGCCAGAAACAAGCCACACCTTTCAGGGACCCACTTTCAACCAGGGCCAACTTCCAAACAGCACATTCAGTCACTGAGCTCTTCAAGGGATGAGACCACCAATGAGTACAGAGTGCCCCCACGAGCCAATCAATTCCCCTACACACTGAACTTTTAGGGGACATTTTAGATTTAAACCATAATATGCCCCATTCTTAAAATCTTCATGTCCCAGTGGAGCCATCACCTCTTGAATGAACCCCAGAGGCACAGAGTTGAGGGAACTGGGAAAGGGGCAGACTCAGACACAAGGATCACTACACATGGGGAAGCCCAAATACAGCTTCCTCATCAGGTCTTTATAATTTTCCCAATTCAAAGGGTCAGTTTTAACATAAGCCAAGTTGCTTCCCAATTTAAGTGGTATTTCCATTTTTATCAGATTGCCAGGCCTGGGAAAGTTAGGAAGTTAACTACAGTTCAAATTCTCACAGGGCAGGGGAAAGGACTGGTTAAACCTTTCTTTACCCGCCCTCTATTCCTAAAGCTTCTCCCTGAGCATCTCCTCCTGTAACACCTTTTCTTCCCCCGACCTGTTGTTAGTTTCTTCATGACCCACACCCTTTGCCAGCTCCTTTAACTATCAAAGGTCCCTTCAAAACTTATCTTCAAAAACCAGCTTCCTATTGTTGCTTGTCCAGAATTCTAACTGATACACTATGTGGGGAGAGGAAGACAGGCATATTTGTGTAGAAATATTATAAAATGGAAGACAACTTGATGGTAAAAATCTTGATTATTTTTTTCCTACTTTTCTCACATCTTTGTAGTTTTTGAGTTTTTTTTTTTCCTCTTTTGATTGGTACATTTTAGAAATATATAACGATAACGTACATCATAAAGAATTTGTACCTGTACATGATATATCTTGCTTCTTTTTTTCCCCATTCCCCTCCCCTCCCCTCCCTTCAACCCCTCTTCTCCTTATTTACAAAAACTTTACTTCCATTTTTTTTCAACAGTAAATGTTATCAATTTCATAAGCAGAAGAGCTTTTTTTTTTTTTTTTTTTTTT